CATTATAACACTCTCTCCGTCATGCCTCCTCCGCGAGATCTCGACGCCTCGTGTTACTCGGAATATGACAAGCGGTCACGGGTCAGGCCCGATTGGCCAGGGCTTATCGCGGCAAGACGCGGAAAGAAAGGCCCATTATGCCCGACAGAGAGACGGGGCACAGGAAACGGGGCCTGTCAAAATGGGCCGATGGCAGCATCCGCCATGGAGCCCTTTAGCGTCGGGGCCCGATCCTCGACCTACCACCGGGTCCTCTGTTCCCGAAATTTAAGGCGGGACGAAAATGCCATTTAAGGAACCAAATGGCTTTATACAATTTCTCCCCGAACCGTGCATCAAATTGCTCTCAAACTCACGCGAATTCAGGTCCTAAGGAAGGTGCCAACCCTCGTGGAACTCGAATTTTCCGAGATTTGTTTATGAACATTTTTTATTTTTTATGACTCATACAATTTCATCGGGACCTTCGGGGGTCTGCACATTCAAGCCGTGAGATTTCAGGCGATTCGGTGCACCCGGTTCAGAGAAAAGTTTTATAACGATGGACCCCTCGAATGGCACTTTCATGCCGCCTTAAGCGGGGTTTAAGGCGTGATGGGCCGCTCTTGGTATCGGGGGAAGATACGCGAATTTTTTGCTGCAGAGCGACGTGTCGATTACTTCGGGGGAAGAGTCGGGGCCCGAAATGAATCTTTTTTGAGATCGAAGTGGGACCCGAGCGCGAGATCGAGGAAGAGGTCGTCGACCGTACGTCGGTCTTATATTTAGGATCGGGGAAATGTCTTTTTCCAGCCCCACTCTCGGGGATTCGACGGGTTCTCCCGGCCGCGGGAGAGCGGGAAAAAAGTGGAGAACCGAGGACGTGGCGAAGACGGTGACGAAGGGAGGATTCGACGATATTCCGCGAAATTCACGAGAAATTCGAGGTCGGAATGGTTGCAGACTCGGGGATAAAAATCGGGGGAAGAAAAAGGAGGCGATTCGAGAAGCTGGAGGAAAGGAGGCGCCCGAGCACGCGAGTTCACGACACGAGGGCCTCGTTATGCCGCGAGCGGCCGAGTCGGCCGACGTCTGCCCGGCAGGCAGAAAAGAGAAAAGAAAAAGCCGATAAACCGGGGCCGATATACCCGGGGCCGATACCCGGCAGGGGCCGCTGAAAACGCGAGAAAACACTGAATCGCAGCCTCGTTACTTATATCTGACTACTCCTCCCCCGGGTTCCGGGAATCCTCCGCGATCTTTGCTCGACCCCACCGAGCGAGTCCCGGGGACGCGAGAGGAAAAATCGGAAAAATCAGAACTCCAGTCCGACGTCGCGACGGTACGACGAGTGTACTTCGAAACGACCGCAGACTATATTTCGGGGAACCCCGAATTCGCGTCGTGTTAAACCTTAAACGAAAATCGGGCCACTCCGCCCTGACCTTGTCACACGACAAACCTTCAAAAAAATCCAAAATATGTATGTTCAAAAAATAAATTAATTCACATTCTTTCCCCACCCGACCATTAATCGCAGGCAATTACATGAGAATAAAACAAGCTCCCAGATTGTACATGCAAAGTGCAGATTTTTATACGACAACATTGGGTCGGAGCGACCCAATGTTGCGTAAGGGTCAAAGTTGAAGAACCGCAAACTGGTCCGGAGAACAGTCGGGGGGTAGGAGATACGCGGTTTTAAATGGAGCGAATTTTAGATGCAGGGATTTTTCCGGTCGGGAGTGCTTGAACCGAGGGAATACTCACTTAGAAGTCAGTCGAAAGCGATTTTCTTCTCTGATTGCCTTTCATGTCACATGATAAACAAGAACGCGATTTGGTAACATGTGATGTCCGGCCTTAAAATGATGGCAGTGTTTCGGTGGTTCCCACCAATTTCCAGGGATTTTCTGCTGATTTTCACGTGATTTCGAGCATTTAGAATACATGATTTCCCTCTGCGTGAACCTTTATCAGACCACGTCGGGTCGAATTCGCGAATTCGCCCCAGGAGGGGCACAGGGGCCGACCAGGAGGAACCCGTTCGGGGAGAAGACACTCCGGGACGGTCCGGACCGAAAACCGGAATCCTTCGATACCGTGGGCCCTTCTTCGCTGGGACCGTCGCCCGATAACGAGCAGGGCCGGCTAACGAAGCCGAGGGGGCCCGCGGGCCCAGGAACTGGGCCAGCGGCAGCGCCTTTGGCGAGTCGACCCCCGCGATTAACGCGGGGCATTAAACAAACCGAGAAACGAACGAACGCTCCCGATGATATCTCGCCGCGAGCGAGCTAGCGCGTTAATGGCCATCGAGAGCGAGAGAGAACGATATAAAGCTAGAGGGCGCGACATGGACTTATAATACATGGACTGAGAATCGCTATCGTTCGCCCGCCGGAAAATAAGTGAGGGAAAAGGAACTGTTTCAGAGTCCTTTTGTCTCAACCTACCTGCACGCGCGTACACTGAAAAAATGTTCATTCAACCAAAGAAACACTGAATTTGAATAGGACCAAGGAAACATTGAATTCGAATAGTACCAAAGATAAATTTTGTTAATTCAATGAATAATAATCTGACTGAAACTCGAATAAATTGTATGCGATATTTCTTCGGAATTGTGACGATTTATTTTGCGTTTACTGGAATCAAATGATGATTCGTTGAATTAACAAAATATTTCTTTGGTTCAATGAATTTTTTATCCTCGGCGTAGAAAGTAAACCAAAAATTTGATTTTCTTAGTGAGGGAGTGAGAAGAGAGATAAACATTTGATTTTGGGAGTGAAGGAGTAAGAAGGAAAATGAAATTTCAATGTTTTCAATGCGTACGTAGGTTGAGACAGAAGGAACCTCAAATAGCTCCCTCTCTCCCATTTGTTCTCCGCAAACGATAGTCGAATGTACAGCGAAGCCCCGGGGCATAAGTCCACAGGGCGCGAGGTAGCCCGAGAGAGAGCGAACGAGGCGCGAGCTCGGCAGAGAGAGGGAGACGGCCAAAGGAATAGGTAGTTTCGCCGCGCGACTTCGTAACGCGGAAAAACAGAAACAGAGCACGTAAGCGTAATGAAACCGACGAGCAAATGGCTCGTTCGATAGTGACGAGCAGATACCATCTCCGACAGGCATTAGGTAACTGGCCAGAGCTGCAACGGGTAGAAATAACCCTGTGATACGTTGAACACCGCCGAAAAAAGTCTCTCGAAAAATTCGGGCCCTTCCCAAGTGACATCGATGGGTCGCCATGAATATTAAAAATATGAATCGCGCAACTTAGACACTCGAAACGGGCCCATAATCGAGTGATGAACGCCCCAGGACGGAGAAAGCGCAGAGCGCAAGGAATATAAATAATCGCGTAATTGAGAATTGACGACAGGATGGCATGCAGAGTTCTTGTTTACCGGCGCATCGATTCCCAGGGGTTCTCAAGCCTGGTACAAGGTGGTATGGGGTGCTCGAGATCGAGCCCAGATCGGGCTCAAGGGGCGCCATGAATATTAAATATGAACCGCGCACCTTGTGCTCTCTCTCGCTCTCTCCCTCTAATCCGCAAAGGACCGGAATCTCCTCGCGATTTATTTTCCCCGCGTGATGTAACGTCGGCTTTTCATTGTTATCGATCAGCCGTTTTGTCCCGTTCCCGGCGGCCGAGCCGACCAGAGCCAGCACGCCAGAGCCTGTATAACGTTGGCACGACAGCGAATGGCGGACCTTAATGAATCTTTATGGGATGGTGTCGTGAACTTGTATTCCCTCCGGTGACTGACTGAACCCGACCATCGGCCATTGGTGCGCTTTCGCTCGTCCCTGACGATTCCCCGAGATCCGCCTAGGTGATCGTTCCTATCATCCTCGAACTCCGTAACGAACACCACCATCTCGTCCTAGACCCATGGGAACATCCAACTCTAACCTAACCGAACTCCTTCCAATGCCTCAAAATTAAACCCACCCTCAAAATTTAGTCTTCACCGCACAAAAAAATGGGCTGTGTGAACCTGGAATTCAGTTTGAGGCACAAACAAAATTAACAGGCTTATCGGAAATTTTCTGTGATGTAGACGTTTGTGTCATGTTCAGTTTTGTTTGTGGCATTTTTTTACGAAAGTCAGAGCTCTTCGAAAAGATAAACAAATTCTCAAATCGTGGAAATTTGGATTTTTCGACACTAATGGGTTCTCTGACGTTAGGAAAATTCAGACCCTCCCAGAATCTCAAAAACGTTAAAATGATCATTTTCGGAATTTGCTTTTTTTCTTAACAGCTATGGTTTTTGTAAAAAAAAAAATGGCACAAACGTATACATCACAGAAACATTCCAATAAGCCCGTTAATTTTGTTTGTGCCTCGAACTGGATTCCAGGTTCACACAGCCCAAAAACTGTAGTAGCATCTCTAGTAAATTAATTGATAACTTTCAAATAAAAATTAATCCAAATCTTGCTAAACCAACCCTTTATTCCAACGCGTTTATCCCGAGAAACCCGAACGATATTGACTGATGAACCCTCGAAGAATCTAAACTCAAGAAACTAGAGTATCCATTGAAATTTGCATTAAATTCGCTTAATCGCCGGAAATCATTTCTCACTAAAATTCCACATTTCCTCTCAAAAATCCTCGTAAAAGACAATGCTCGGGGTGATCCTAGCTCATTCTGAAATCTCTCCGTCAGAGATCTTTAGAAGAGGCCCAGAAGGGATTTGAGAGATCTCCTTTGAGTCCTACGCCAATGCTTGGTCGCCTCATTAGCCTCGAGCGTTCTGCTCGATGTCGAGAGGCGTCCGTCGTGTACGTGAAATTTGAAGGGTGTGCAAGGCCCATGGGTCTCGCCCCGCGTCTTGATTGTCATCAACTGGTCGTCGCGTGATACTCTCATTAGCGGGCGCGAGTTCCCTCGCGAGGTGCGCGCACATCCCGAACCAGGGTGCGCGCATCTCGAGCCAGGGTGCAAGTTTCACGAGGTCTTGGTCGAGAAGCAACGAAACGAGGAAAAGAAGAAAAAATGGACTCACCAGGGTCCGACGAGTCCAGGCTGGTGGGCGCTTGCTGACTCAGGGGTCCAGGAGTACCTCCACTTCCGGGGCTGCGCGCGTCTTCGTTGCCTCCAGCTCCGGGGTACGAAAGCGACGAGGAGGGTGGCCTCTGAAGAAGAGAAGAAACGGGCATCGATTAATCAAGGCGCCTCTAAAAATCGATCGATCACGATAATCGATGTACAAGGGACGAACCGTCTCACCACTGGCAGTACCTTTGAGTCTCGCGTATTGTGTATATCGCACTGCACATATCGTATGGCAGCCTAATCTACGTAATTTACTTGGGTAATTTCAAAATGGGATAGAAATACGCAACGTGACCTAGTCAAGATCCAACACAAAACCTAAACTTTATTGTTCCAATATACTGTCATCACATGTTCCAATCATACCGTATAGTCACAAAAGTGGCCTAATTCACCTATCTTTCAGTCATGATACTTGATAATTTAAAATGTTATTGCAATTTAACTGGACGCGATGCAGTATGTGTGGGAAATTCAGGTTTTTCAATTTTTGTACAAACCAGTTTGTCGCCGCGTATAGGCACGTCAGGCTACCTTTTCTCACCTGGGTTATTCTTAGATGAGTAGATATTACACTTTGATGGATCACTAATTTTCTTTCTTTCCTGCTCTATGGTTCTACAAGGACTAACTCTAGAACTACGTAACTCTAAACGTTCGCTGAATATATCGCAAAGGTGGGGGTAACACTCCCATTATTGGTCATCGTCGCTTAAATCTGAGCCTATCAAAACGGGCTCGTAAATCCTCCCCATTCGACCTCTCACAAACTAAAGAATTTAGGATTCCGGTACGTAACAAGTATCATGATTAAGTGAGAGCGGTATCTGAGGGGTCAATGGAACTTTTCTCTGAACTGGTGTACCGGATCGCTTCAAACTGTTCGTGAATATGGAGGCCATAAGGAAGGTCCTGACACCCATAAAATGTCAACTTTTAGACAAAACAAAATCGTTAAAATGTTTATAAGCAAATCTGAGCAAAAAATAAATGCGAACTCTCGAGTAAATGAATAAATATAAATATAAGTATATGTTAGGGTGAAATTCTTGAGTGCAGTCTTGGGAAGGACATTCTGGATGAATTTGTTAAAGCCTCGACACTGGGGAATTAAGTCGTAGAGTATGTCGGCAATTTCCAAGAGATCGACACGAGGTATCGAGAGTAAATCACGGATGGTCAGAGGCCTACCTGCTGCGGAGGAGCCGGGGTCCATTCGCAGCATCCCGCCGCGGAGACGAGCGTCTAGGTATCGCGTCTGGCCGGGCAACAATGAGTGACGGGTGCTCCCACGCGCTGTCATAAGTGTCACGCTAGTAATCGTTCGGTCTCCCTTTCCCGCCCTGAGCCCGCACCTCTCGAACGTCGAGTTTAAGTCGAGGCTAGAGACCCTTCGATCGAGCGGAGACCGGAACGACGATAAACGACAACGAAGATATAACATCGTAAGATATCACCACCAGACTTCGCATCATCTCCCGGAACGCGAAACCCATCCTTCCTTCAAGCTAAGGGGATGTTAAATTAAAGATGTCTACATACCCACTTTTAAAAAATTGAAATTTCTTTAGTGTCAAAACCTTCCTCATAGTCTCCATGTTCACATTGTGAAGTTTGAAACGATTCGGTAGACCCAATTCGTAGAAAAATTTCACGAACCCCTCAAATGCCGGGGATGCTTTAAGGAGATGCGAAAGTGGCATCCGAAAGCTCAATCGTTCATAAAACTTTTCTACGAACTGGGTGTCTCAAATCGTTTCATACTTTAAATCGTGAATATGGAGACCCAAAGGTAGGTCCTGAAACTCGGGAAATTTCATTTTCTATAAACCATTTCTAAAATATGTATAAACAAATTTGAAAAGAATTGAAGTTTCATGAGCTTCAAGACCTTCCTTATAGTTTCCCTATTCACGTAGTAAAGTTTCAAACTATTCGGTAAATCGAGTTGGGAAAAAAGTTTTATAAACAAAACCTCTTCGACGCTACTTTCGCATCACCTTAAGGGGATGAGACACAGTTCTAGCAGGTGCCGATCAACGAATCTTTTCTACCGATTCCCTAAATCGCTGGTCCGGTCGACGTGTGAACATGGAGGCCCCGGGTGACTCCGGATTCCATCGTCCCTCGGTCGGATTCTGGGCGGCGATAGCGCCGATCTCGATCTCGATCGAGAGCGTGCAAGGCCTCTAGATCGCGCGCGCAAGTAGGCACGAGAGTGGCAACGAGTACGGGGGGACATTAATAATGCATCGACCGTCGCCAAGCCGCTTCCTACTCGCGCCAAGTACGAAGTGGACACAGGCCATCGGCGTCGGCAACAGCGTTACGCCCTGAACGATATCGCACCTCTTCCCTGCCCCCTGGAGGTCCCCGGAGAGGGCCCCGCGCCAATTACCGAGGCGAGAATTTCGGGGCATACCGGAGGGAGAGAGCGCACCCGGTGACGTCACTTCCTACTAAACTCCGAATCGTAACGCTTTTTAAGTGGCCGAGGGTCCGCGACTCGAGGCGACGACGGACGCCGGCCGTCCCGACGACGACTGATTCGTCGAACCGGATGTCTGGCGAGGCCCTTGAAGCGAATCAGGGCCCGCATCCGCGACCTCGCGTCGCACCTCCAGTAGGTCGCGACCCAGTAGGTCGAGGAGGTCGAGTAGGTCCAGGAGGTCCGCAGGCTCAACCGGAAGCGCGGCTCGAGTCATCGAACCGCTACCGCGGTGCGATATTAATTGTTCGTGGTTAATGGCATATAATTATATAATTAGCCGGAGAAGCATTAGTACTTTTCGCTGACTGGTTTACGGCCGAGATACGTAAATCTCGGCAATTAATTTATTGGTGCGCCGACGAGGGCGAGAGAGAGATGGAGAGACAGAGATCGGCGAGCCGCCGGAAGCCGAGAAACGGGAAGCAGCGGCGTAGGTAAGAGGAATGAAAATATCAAGCCAAGAGGGCGTCGCGACGCCCTGGCGAAACGGGCCCCGCGGGCCCTATGGGCCCGGCGCTGGGCGAGGTCGCTCGACGACTCTCCTCGTCCTCGATATACTCGCTCCTTCTCTCCATCTCGCTCGGCGATATACCGGCCCGACCGCGGGATCATAAATTACGATTTATTGCGGTGGCAGCGCCTCCGCTCGACGGATTATCTTACCGTTGTGTCAGCACGCTACAATTATATTTACATTTTCCGCGCGGCCGGATTCCCTCGAGGCACTCGCGGATCCATCTGGATCTGCGAAATGCGAACTACACCCGGATGTACGGAGAGAAACTCGGTAGAGTCGAGAGCCAAATGCATTTGAGCGAGGAACTCGTGACGGATTTACCGATACGAGACCGATCGCGTGATTGTTGCTAAATGGTACGTATGGAAGTCGATATTCAATTTCGGAGATTTTTTTTCGCACTTTTCAGTAGATATCGCAAGGAATGATCCTTAAGGTCTTGCGAAAGTGGCGCCAAAGTCTCGTTTATGGTACTTTTCTCCGAATTGGCTGTACCGAATAGTTTGAATCTTTGCAACGCGAATGTGGAGGCTGTAATGAAGGCCCCGAGGCCAAAGAAATTTGAATCTTTTTTTTTTTTAATTTTTTATGGACATTCTATAAATTTTCTTTAATAATTGAGATTTCATGGGTGTCGGGACATTCCTTATGGCCTCCATATTCCCGTTGTAAAGTTCGAAACGATTCGGTACACCCACTTCAGAGAAAAGTTTCATGAACAATTGACCCCTCGGATGGCACATTCACATCCCCTTAATGACCGGAGTAAATATCTCTGGCATTATTTATTTTCTACTTACACTTGAGCATTGCTTCTCATTAAATTACGAAGTATCAGACTGATTGTAAGTGAAAGAAATCCCAGTTGATATTGTTACCTCTTAGAAGAATAGCGATCCTTGAAGGGAATGTTTCTTTGCAGAGAACGAGCGTTACGGATGAAGAACTTTGGAACTTTTCAAAAGATAAAGATGAAGGCAAACGAGGAGATTTTTCTCGCGACAATTAGGAGGGAGGATCGAAAACGGAGACAATCGAGATTCGGGCGAGGCCTCTCGACCCTGGCCCTTAACGAGGCCTCCACCTGACCGGAGCGAGAGAATTTAAAGCGGTCGTATAAACGAAACAAATTTATGGCGGTCATAGAGTCGGCCGCGGGCGCGAGCGGCCACGAGGAGACGCTGCCCCCTCTCGACAGCCGTAAATATGGAATCCGGCCCGGGATTTTGTTTGTCAATAAAACCGGACTCGGATTTGTTGCACCCTCGTGTTTGTTGCCTTTACGACGCCTACCGCGCGGCCCGTGCCAGCGGGAGCCGGCTCCTCCACCGCGGCCGCGCCATGACACTCGCTAAATTCTGCCGATCGTTCCTTCGAGCAAAACGCTGCGACGCGAGACTCGTTAAGCCTACCCACGACGCCGGACATCTCTCGGATTTTATCGCGAAACCGACTCGCCGTGCTACCGGAATTCCTGAGTCGTAAAGGACTCTACGCCGAGGAGGAAAAAAAAAAAGAAAACATTGGACCGATGAAATATTTCCCAATTTCAAGGAATAATTATTTCACCGGAATGAATTCAAATCAGTTGTCACAATTCCGAGGAAACGGAGAATCCTATTTATTCGAGTCTCGGTCGAATAATTATTAAGGATCTCAAGATGATACGTAAGGGTCATTTTATACATACAGAACGTGAAAATATTTTTATAACTTTCACGAGGACCACGTTCTTCCTTAGGGTCTTCATAATCACGTGCTGAAGTTGCAAATGATTCGATGCACCCAGTTTGGAGAAAGGTTAAAAAATATTTTCACGTTTTACATGTATGGAAGGACCCTTTCATATCACCTTTGAGTTAGAAAGCCACCACGGATCATTTTTACCGATCGATTGATTATTATTTGAGTTATCAAAATATTCCTTTGGTACTAGACTCCCTAAATATCTCTTTGGTTCGATGAAGTTTTGTTTCTCAGGGTAGGAACGTCACGTACGAGTCGACAAACCGAGCGGCGCGATGTTCGCGACTTTCCCGAAATTTCTCCTGGAGAAGTTTGAGGATAAATAT